ACCATTTCAGGTTAAAGAATCGATCTTGTGCAATTGTATACATCAATAATGGAGTTCTTTTGGCACTACTTGCAAAGTACGATAACAGTATAATCATGGGGCATGTAGGTCATACTTTGTTGTTTATGAGAGTCAATGAATATTTTTGATATTTATTATGTTTCTGAATTTTTTTAATGCTTGAACGTCTTCTGAATTTTTGTAATTATTCTGACATAGCTTTACGTTTTTAAATTGTGTTTGGTAAAATTTTGATTTTTCCTAGATTTTATTGTGGGTCACTCTAGTAACCCTAATATGACACCTCGGGTCATAATGGGTTACTCGTATCGGCCTAAGGGGTTACATTTAGTGGTGTCAGAGCTTTGGCTAAGTCGAGTCCTTCTGGGTAGACTGACCGATGGACTGTCATAGGGTGTTTGGACAATACATGCCCCTAGATTATAATTGTACTCCTTTGAATCAAAACTCTGATGTCCAGTCCTCTACCTGTAATAAGTATGCCTAATTATTTTTTCTGTTAGGGCTCGACCTGTGTATGAAGGAAAGTGTTCACATACATGGTAAAAAATTAAATCTAGAAGATTTTGTTACCTCTAAAAGAAAACATTTATCTTTGCATGTTGCACTGAAGGTAATCAAGTATTATTCTGATAAAGGGTTGATAATTAATGTCTGATTAGTTTTATAAGGAGAATTTTGTTCATATTCTAGATTTATGATAAGGAAGAGTTCTGACAAGTACGTTTATTCTGGATTTAGTAGAAGAATCGTAATCCTCTAAAAGACACATGAGAGATTCAAGATTGATAAAAGCACAGTTTCTAAATTTCTTTGACTCGGAGTAAATTTTGAGGATGAAATTTCTTTGAAGAGGGGAGAGTTTTCATACCCTGATTTTCATTGTGTACATTTTAATTTAATTTTGATAAATTATGAGGACCAAATAGTAAAACTTTGAAAATTTGAGGTCAGTTTCAGAAGTTTTAGGAAGCTCAGAGACCTAAGCTAGAATTATACCATCATCTTCTCTACAAACAAAAAATGATGAAAATGAATTTAGGTGCCTACAGAGGTTTTAACTCGAGCCATAGGGAGTGGAGTGCCATACTCTTACCTTTTAGGCTAGGCACTATTCCACTTTATATTATAAAGATTTATTTTAACTCTGATTGGAATTAGTCATTAAAAAACACCCAAATCAATTCGAGTTATAACCAAACCTAAATCCCTCTAAATTATTTTTTACTCGTATTCATCGTCCGTCGAGTTCACTTTGGAATCATCATCATCCGACCACCGTGTCGAGCACCACTACCACTATCATGACCGTCGTCCACTTACGGGCAAAATCCCAATGATTGATAGTTGAAACTCACCGCCTTTAACTGTGAATCGACATTCAAAAACCCATCACAAGACCGAGCTATTGTTTTTCTAATTTCGAATGAAACCCAACCAATAGTGTTACCTCGTCATTATTTTATAACCAATGATCGTGGGTAAGCTCTCTGATTTTCTTCTCCATTCGATTCACGTTGTTTTAGTTGGATTATTAGCTTGGAATTGGTTTATTTTGGTGATTGAAGGCTAAGAGAGTGATTGATTATCTTTTTTTGTCTTTTTTGTCACTGTAACATGCACCACCATCTCGCGTGGGGCTTCTCGACTAGAAGGGAACCTTCTGGAAATAGTCTAGTTGGACCGGTCTAAGCTGAACCGAACTGAGCTGAGTCGTATTGACCAAGCCGAGGTATATGAACTAAGTCAAGCCAAGTTGATTCAAGCTGTTGAATTTTGTTTAACAACGTTAACTGGCCACTGACTTTTGTTTAACAACGTTAGCCAACCGTTGACCGGCGTTGATCGACTGTTGACCAGACATTGATTTTATTCGAGACCATATATTCTGATATTTTTTGACATCTTGAGTCTGTTTTTGCAGTCTATTTCACCAAATTCAAACGCAGTAAGCTATTTTTTTATCATTTATCTTACAATTCGATATGATTTTCCCAATTAAGACCCATTTCTTATGCAATTTGGTTTCCATATATCCAAGACATTTTGAGATATCGAATTAAAGTGCGAGAGCGATCAAATGGAGTGAAAATGATTTATCGATGTGGCTTAAAATCGAGGCAATACTCTACTACCTTTTGTATGCTTTTCGAAATTATTTGATAATTGGTAAATGCATGAATGAAAATGATTGGTCAATTAGGTGTATTTAATTATTGTTGGACTCGAACTGAATACGAAATATATGCATAACATTGTATAAGACTCAAATGGATCCCATAAGAAATTGGAAGACCGATCGGAAATAATTCTAAGTTCAGTGATTAATTTGTAAATAAATTAACCTCAGGATCCATAAATTCTGATTAATTTCTTTAAATGTTAAATACCAGGAATACTTGGTTAAGAAATTACAAAAATATCCTTATGGAGTAAATTTTATGAAAATGCCCTTGTACTGTAAAAAGACCAAGATTTCCCCTGAAAGTGGAAAATAACACTGAAAGGACATACTTGACCAAATTACCAGAAAAGTTCATATGTTTGGATTAAACAAAATTATCGAAATGTCCTCGAGCTGTTAAATAACTAAAATAACCTCCAGTATTCAAATGAACAAAATACCCCTAAACCCTAAAAGGACCAAAATACCTTGAACTCTAAGATGACCGAAGTAACCTCGAGTGTTGAAGTGACCTAAATATCCTAATGATTTGGAAAAGTGAATTTCTTTGGATAAATTCTAGAAACACAAATAAACTTAAATGTTGTATCGTCGCTAAAGGTTATGGAGCAAGACCTAGGCATGCGTAGCATTATTGATACTGAAACAATATAGAAATAAATAATACCATTGGAATACCTATTTGTCTCCTCGAGAATCGATATATGATTATTATGAAAGTGAACAGTTCAGCTAATGCAGTCAATATTAAGGAGATAGTATTTGTGAAGCGTCTCGGTCTGGATTATTGGTATGTATCACATTATTGGGATCTGATTAGTCTGATCTGACTCGAAATTTGGATAATTCAATATAAATCTTGGATATCGTAAATCATCGTTTACCATTATTGGATTAAGTTACCAAGAATTCTTCAAGAATCAAAATGTCAAAAATTCCCTAATAGACTAAGTAATGGAATCCTCTTGATATATCTATATGAATCCTAACTACTCCAGATATATCTGAATCTTAAATTATTCTAATGTAAAGGTTTTTGAACACCTTCCTGATGCACCTGAATCCAAAATGGCCCTGAAGTATCAATTTTAAATTTCTAAATAGATTATTAGTAATAGACCCCTTTTAATAGGGACATCATTCCTGAAATCTGATCAATTTATATAAGTTTCATGGTTTCCATTCCTTATAACTATCAAGTACCTCCTAAAAATATATGGATCCTCTAATGTGTTCCCTGTGCACAAAATTTTTTTCTCTATTTTACAAAAATTATGACTTTGTTATTTGAAATAAAAAAATGATTTATGATACAAGGTACAAGTGACTTCTGTTTTTTGATATTATTGGTATTGTCTGAAACTATTTTATTTGGGTATTATATGGGTAGACTGGAGTATGGAGGTTCAACTCTGATTAAGTTGATAAATCTTTACGGACCTAAGGTAACCCTTGGGTAAGCTCTTAGGCCATGAGATGTTCCCTTGGGTAGGCTCTAAGGCCCCAAGGGAAATTATCTTAAGTTGGCTCCTAGGTCTCATGGGCTTAGGGTAAGTCCTTATATATATAGTTCTGGGGAACTGCATATGGTGTACGAGTGAAGGGCATTTATGTTATTTAAATAACTACATTGTAATTTTTACAATATTCTATTGGATCACGATTACGATATTATAATTTGTTTCTCAATCTAATTTTTACTGGATATTGTATGCTTAGGAGTCTGGAGTACAGAGGTTCAGCTTTAATCAAGCTGGTAATTCTTTACGGACCTAAAGTAACCCTTGGGTAGACTCTTAGGCCCCGATATGTTCCCTTGGGTAGGCTCTCAAGCCCTAAGATACTCCTTTTGGTAGGCTCTAAGGACCCAAGGTCGCTCTGGTGGTTCTAATGTGACACCTCAGATTGGATTGGTTACCCGTATCTGTCTGAGGGGTTACATTTTTCTTTAAATTAAATTATTTTAAATATATATATATATATAGAAAAATCCTTAAATTTAAAATTTAAATTTCTATAATATATAATTCACACATAAAGTTTAAAAATTCAAATTACATAATTGAAAGTAAATTTATTAAAAAATAAAATTAAAAAATTAATTAAATTTCAAGTGTTTTGAAGTTAAAATAAATATTTTAAAAAATAATTTAGAATTTTAATATGAAATATTTAAGAAATTAAGAAATTAGAATTTTATGGTGGCAAAATTTAAGAATGCTTAATACAAAAATAAGTGCCTAAAGTATAGTTTAGACATTTATTTATTTTTAAGTCATTTAAGAAATTAGGAATATAGAATGTTAGAGTGAAATAATTTGAAAATTATAAGTAAAAATTTAATATAGAATAAAAATAAAAAATATATATAATAAGCAGGGTACTGGGTCAGCGTGTTCCCGATTAAGCAATATTTTGTGTCACGGGCCCAACCGGGAAAATTTACCCAATCCAGAAAATCGGGTATTTTCAATATAAATACTTGATATTTTTTTAACCGGGATGAGTATTTTTTAACACCCCTAGCTAGCAATATAACGAATCTTATAGTAGAATTCGTCTGATTTGATCCGATTTTATTTAAATGTATTTCTTTATAAACAATTTTTTTTTATAGAAAACCGCTAGTTTTATTAAAAATACAAAATATCAAGAATTAGAATTAAGATTTGCAAGCATAACAATAAATGTAAACTAAATTATAATTAGAATATTTTCCAATAATCATTGACACAAAAACTAGCCACCTAAATCACACAAGGACCAAAGAAGGAAAAAAATTTAAAAAACCTAACCAAAATGCTCGAAAAATAAAGATACGAACAAATCTGACTGTATCGACAAACGAACCACAGAAGGGGATGAAACTATTTAAAAACCACCAACAAATCGCAAATCAAAGTCAAGCGACATGGAAAAACTATTCACGAACGCAAAACGCATATCCAAATCAATATGATGGTCCAAAGCAGAGAAGATCAATATGATAACAAATAATCGTCATCTTGATCAGTCATGGTGATGTCAAATCCAACCCTGATAAAAAAGGTAAACAAAAATAATGACCAAACAACCGAAAACTACCAAAAGGTAAATATAAATATTTCACAAAGATAAATTATTCTTATTAAGAAATTTTAAAAAAATTAAAAAATATACAAAAAACAAAGAGAAAAGATAAAATGTTTAGTTTATATTTTAGTATCATTAATCGTTACAAAATGTTAAAAAAAGTTATTACCATGAAATTGATGTTAATTATAGTTAATTATTTTTATAATCGTTATTGATTTTTATCTTTATCCCTCATTTTAAGCTTATAAATAAAATATTTTTTTATTTCTAAGAGACGCAACAATCAAAACAATTTCTCTCTTACATCCCTTTATCCCTTACATAAAAACCGTTTCTTATTATTTTTTTGAGTATTATTTTCCGATAGTTAGATTATAATATAGGAAAATATTTTAGAATTCAATATAACTTTTTTAGAAGAATAATATCGATTGATTTTCACTTTGATACTCATGTGTACGAATATTGAAGTCTGTGTTGATTTCAAGGACAACATCCATTTCACCTATTATATCCAAAGATAAATATAAAATTTTATGCTAGAGATGCAAATTTAAATTAAATTAAAATTTTAAAGAATGCGAAACTATAAAATTTCAACTTATTATACTCACGTAATTTTTTATGCGTTAGGTTGAGATAGATAGAGTTTTGGAATTGGTTATTGCAATTTTAATCAAACACGTAGAGTGGGATTAAAAAGATGTTATTGGAGGACAAGCTACAAAAGTTTGGAGGATGGTGTTTTTGACTCCACTACATCACATGTCTCTCGAATCTTCAACAATACGAGGCCTATTTTTCTAAAGTGAAAGTTCCCTCGTCCACCTATATACTCTACTTGCATCATATCAACCCTCCATATTGCTTCAATACTTATCTCATCCTTCTCCCCCTTCCCACTTATGTTGACTTTCTATTTGCACAATTATCAACAATTCACAAAATTATATAGTCAATTTTTATATTATGTTTCATAAATCGATTATTTGGTTAGTCTTTTATAGACAAAATATTAGGCTAATCTTTTAAGTATTTATAATTTTGCTTCCCGTCATATTATGAGTACAACATATGATATCTATACTTTAATTTTATGACACTTTTATAACTTTATGATAACTTATACATTATACGTTATCCTAAAATAAAAAGGAGGTCGCAGTTTAAACTCACCACGAGTCAGCGGCAGCATGATAATGTATTGTAGATCTAGAATTTGAGACACAAAGTTGAATGCATTGAGTGGGTAATTTCAATGGTAGTGGGGATAAGACACTGAAATTACCGATGGATTCCAATGTGGAATGACTAATAAATTTATAGCCATGGAATGGTGGAATCTCAGAAACGTGTATGATAAACAAAGAGTACAAGAAAAGTCAGACTTAGAGGCATCCCTTGACTTTTCTTTTAATAATCTTTAAGGAGACGTTTGGTTCGCTGGAATGTTTCGGAGAGAATTGGAATCTGTGAAGGAATTAGAATCTGTCAGGAATTGGAATCCAATTCCATATTCTGTTTGGTTCGCAGACATGTCAGATGAATTTGATTTCAGTAATGTAAAATGATAAGATTGCCATTCCCTGTTTTTTAGCTTAATTTTAGTTTGTTTTATAAATTACTTGTAGCAATATATTATAAAAATTTTAAAAATATGAAATTTTAATTTTATTGAATGATTATTCATTTCAATAAATTATAAAAATCATGCTAATAAACATCATAAGTTAAAATCATCCCAATTAGAGATGGTCATGGGTCGGGTTTTTGGTCCACCCGACCCGAGAACAAGGGAACCTCCGTCCGAGACCGACCCGACCAAAATAAAGTTTCACCCGACCCGACCTGAATATATGAATTAGAAACCCGACCCGACCCGAAATAATAAAAAAATTATTTTTATTCAATAAAAATAGTGACTTAATTGAAAAAAATTATATATAGAGGGGTATTATTGTAATTATTCCTAAATATATAAGGTAAAATTATATATTTTTTCGGGTCGGGTCAGGTATTTTTCACCCTAAACCCGAACCCAACCCAACCCGACCAAAATAAAGTTTCACCCGACCCGACCCGAATATATGAATTAGAAACTCGACCCGACCCGAAATAATAAAAAAATTATTTTTATTCAATAAAAACAGTGATTTAATTAAAAATATTATATATAGAGAGGTATTATTATAATTATTTCTAAATATATAAGGTAAAATTATATATATTTTCGGTTCGGGTCGGGTCCTGTCAAACAATTCAAGAAGGAAAACAGATAGATATGCCCAAAAATAGTCATACAGTTGATGAACATGTGAATGAGAATAGTAGCAAAGATAACCCTTTTGGCCCCTTGGATGATGGTTAAGCCAAGAGGAAGAAACAACATATACCAAAGAACCCAAAGTAAAATTATAGAGTTTGAAGGAACTTCAAAACAAGGATCTAGATTTGCGCTCCTACATGATGAACATACAGAAGAAGAACACAGGGAAAACATTAAAGAACACCAAGAACTAAGTGGGGATTCTGATTTACAAGCCAAAACTAGCACACCAAAGAACCAGACGGTTAACAAAATGGGAGATAGAGAAAGAACGAGAAACAAAGCCACTTTAACTAGAGCGGATAAAAATACGAACCAAAATCAGGAAAAAAATGCTCCCATCAATCTTGAAGTAGATAACAACAGGTTAGTGGATGTTCCTATCACTGACGGTGAAATGACAGTGAATGAAAATCATACAAAGGATTTAAGTCTTGATGGAATACAAGTCATAGCTAACGAAGATGCCCGAATCAGAGAACATAGGTTATCTGTAGGAGATGGAGTCCATACAACTATTTCCATCCACGAAAAAGACAATAATAGGAAGCTTACTTCTAGGTAGAACTTCAACAGGAAGCCTAGTCAAATTGCTCGCATCACCAAAAAAGGCCTCAAAGTCAGAAATTCAAAAAATAATATTAATCCTAACATCCCTTACCTATCAGAATGGATTCAAGAAAATACTACGAATTCGGAAAATTTGGCTCCTCCTGACAACACCAATTCTACAACTAGTCATGTTCAAATGGTAGAGCAAATTGAGCAGAGCCAAAGCATAGAAGTTGAAGATAAGGACAAGGAGCTATCACAAAACACTTGCCCTCTATCTCAAAGATTATGAGGATTCTGTTTTGGAATACCCAAGGGGTAGTTAAACCTTATTTTAGAAGACACTTTAAAGATTGTGTGAATATACACAAGCCCAAGGTCATTGCTCTGATGGAAACTCACACAAGTGGCAGAAGAGCTGATAGAATTATTAAGAATATGGGTTATATGAATTCATTTAGAATTGAAGCTCAGGGCCATAGTGGAGGAATCTGGATGCTTTGGGATAATTCGGTAAAAGTTAAAATTCTAAACATCTCTAACCAATATGTGCATGCCCGTGTCAAGCATATAAACAATAACTGCTAGAATTATGTTACAACTGTTTATGCCAGTCCAAACCCCAACATTCGATGTAAATTATGGGATCTCTTGGACAATCTCAAACCGTGCAATAATGAACCCTGGATGCTAGGAGGAGATTTCAATTGTATTTTGAGACACGATGAGAGAATTGGGGGCAGTAATCGCGTCAGAGGTGGGAGTAAACATTTCCAAGATTTTATTTTCAACAATGAATTGATAGAAGTTAAGTTCTAAGGAGATGACTTTACTTGGCGTCGTGGTAATCTTTGGCAAAGACTCGACAGATGTATTATGAATATGAAATGGTTAGAGTTATACCCTGAAACTAGAGAGCTACATCTGGACCGAATTGGATCTGATCACTGTCCTATTCTGTTGTACACTATGAATAGCCCCAAAGAGATTAAAAAGAAACCTTTTAGATTTTTGGCAGCCTAGATGGATCACCCTGATTTTGATCGCTTTCTTAAAGAAGAGTGGGTTAAGAATGTTAATCTTAAAGAAAGTCTCAATCATATTAAGAAAAGCATCAAAGTTTGGAATAGTGAAACTTTCGGCATCATCAACCAGAAGAAGAAAAGAATAATTGCTAGACTGAAAGGTATCGATAAAGCTTTACGTTGTTATGACTCCATCAGACTGACAACACTGGAATCTGATCTAAAGACTGAACTGGACACTATTCTTAGACAAGAAGAACTACTTTGGGCTCAAAGGGCTAGATGCAAATGGATTAATCACGGAGATAAAAATACCAAATATTTTCATTCATGTGCGATCACTAAGGGCAGAAAAAAGTTTATAACAGCTCTTAAAACTAAAGTTGATTATTGGTGTGATGATCAGAATATTCTTAAAAAGCATGCAAAGGAGTACTATGAGGATCTGTTCACCAGGGACCTATTGATAAAACAGTCCCTGGAAAATAATAGACCTTTTCTTAATCTGAACAGGGACCAATGGAATTGGCTAGACAAACCTTTTGAAAACACTGAGATTAAAGAAGCTTTATTCAGTATGAATCCGCTCAAAGCTCCAGGTGTTGATGGGTTTCATGCAAGTTTTTTCCAGAATAATTGGAACATAGTTGGAGAAAAGGTTTGCCACTTAGTTAAACATTGCCTTAATGGGGGTCAGATTGATGAAGATCTAAACAGAACGAGTCTCGTGTTAATACCAAAGGTAGACAATCATGAGAGAATTACACAATTTAGACCCATAAGCCTCTACCTACAAAATTATTACTAAAGTAATTGTTAACCGTCTCAAACCTATTCTTCCTACCATTATCTCTAATAGCCAAACAAGTTTCATTCCGGGAAGGGTTATTACTGAAAATATAATCCTTGCACAAGAAGTTATTCATTCTATGAAGAAAAATAAAGGAAAAAATGGGTGGTTAGCCATCAAGATCGACATAGAAAAAGCTTATGACAGATTGGATTGGAATTTCATTAAGGATAACATCGAGTTATTGGGTATGCCTAATAGAATTATTTTGGCCATTATGAACTGCATCAAATCCATGTCTATCCAAATCAATTGGAATGGAGAACTTACCTAGCATTTTAAACCGACTAGGGGAATCAGACAGGGTAGTCCATTATCTCCGTACCTCTTTGTCATCTGCATGGAAAGACTTGCAAAAGAATCGTGTTAACTGTAGAGCAAGGTAAGTGGATACCATTTAAGTTGTTTAGAAATTGTCCTAATATTTCTCACCTCTTTTTTGCAGACGACCTTATTTTTTTGCGGAAGCCGATATTTCTCAAATTGAAATCAATCAGAACACTCTTCATAAATTCTGTAGCAGCTCGGGTCAAAAAGTGAACCTGCAGAAATCCAGCATCTTTTATTCCAGCAATATTAATCCACAAATCAGAAATGATATAATTAATATGATTGACATCAAAGAAGTCGAGAACCTTGGGAATTATCTGGGAGTTCCTCTGCTCCATAACAGGATCAACAAAAGAACTTACAACAGCATCATCCAAAGAGTAAAAGATAGACTTGCAGGTTGAAAGGCTAAAACTTTATCATTAGCGGGAAGAATTATACTTGCTAAATTAGTCCTCAATGCAATTCCTGCATACACTATGCAGTTAATATTAATCCCTAAAGGAACGTGCAATGAGATTGAAAGACTAACCAAAAATTTTATTTGGGGTAATACAAATTAGCAGAAAAGCATTCACCTTCTGAGTTGGGATACAATCTATAAACCAATCAAAGAAGGGGGACAAGGCTTAAAGAATTTGAGGTTCCAAAATAAGGCTTTCTTTAACAAGCTGGCCTACAAACTTATTAATAGAGATGATCTTTTATGGGTGCAGGTGATGAGAAGCAAGTATAAGATGAAAGAGATTCTACCTGAAAAGTTAGAAAAAAGGGGAGGATCATCCCTATGGAACCACTTATGCTCCCTTTAGGCAGAATTTAAATAGAATATATGTTGGAACGTTGGAAATGAAAAACATGTTGAATTCTGGCATGATTTATGGCTTGATAATAAAGAGTCCCTCTACAGACTGTGCAATAAAAAAACGGAAGTGGAAAATGACAAATCCAAAGTCAAGGAGTTGATCAATCAAAATGGTACCTGGGACTGGAATAAGCTCACAAGACTACTCCCGGATCGAATCATAAATAAATTGAAAGCTACCCCTCCTCCTGTGGAAGAATTCCTTGCTGACTCACCAGGTTGGACTCCCTCGGAGAAAAGAGTTTTCTCAGTCAAATCGACGTATAAAGTGATAGCAAATAACATTTCAACAGAAGAAAATATTTGGAGTATCATTGCAAAGCATAACAATATTCGCAGGATTAAAGCGTTTCTATGGCTCATTGGGAAAGATAGAATACTAACCAATCTGGAAAGAGTGCGCAGGCACATGACGACAGATGCAAGTTGCCCTATGTAAACTATGAAACAGAATATTTAAACCATTTGCTGAGATACTGCCCGAGAACATTACTGATGTGGGCAGAATTGATTGATACCCAGAATTTGGATAAGTTCCTGAGTATCAACATCAAGGAGTGGATCACCGAAAATCTAGAAACAACCCAATCCCTATCACCATCAATTGAAAACTGGCCATCTTTCTTCAGTTCTGTAATCTAGTTTATTTGGAAAAGAAGAAATCAGGCGATATTCGACCCAAAGATGATCGAAAGGGAAACTATTACTCAACAAGCTACGAGGTTGACCCAAGAATTACAGAGTACAGAAGTTAACAAAGCTAGAAGCACACCAAACAGGAATGATATTCGTAATAAATGGCAGAAGCCTATTAGAAATTACTGTAAAATAAATACAGACGGAACCAAGATTCAGAGCACTGGAGAAGTTATGTGCGGGGTTGTTGCAAGAGACCACAATGGAAATTGGCGATGGAGTTTTGGCAAAAGAGTAGGGATTTGCTCCATCTTGGAAGCAGAACTCTGAGGAATTCTTGAAGGCTTAAACATGTCTTGGAATAGGGGAGAAAGAAAAGTGGTTTTGGAATCCGATAACATAGAAGCTATCAACCTTATCAAAAACAACTCGCATGAACACAGAAAACTTACCATTCTGCAGCACATAGAAAAACTCTTAAAGAAAAATTGAGAAGTAGAGCTGAAGCACATACCTAGAGAGGCTAATCGTATGGCGGACTTCATAGCCAAACAGATAAGAAAATTTCAGGAAGACACAGTGTTTCTGGAAAACCCACCCAAGAAAGCCGAAGAATTATTAATTGCTGATAAAATGGGCTGCTAGGCGGCCCTTTGTACCCGTTTCAACAAAAAAAAATTGGATGGAATTCACTTTCCCTCATTTGATGGAAAGTTGAAGTCATGAGAGATTCCAATTCCCTTTTAAAACTTGAACCAAACATGGGAAAGTGGTGGAATTAGATTACAATTCCTTCTAATTCCAAGGGATTCTTGCGAACCAAACGCCACCTAAGAGAAGACCGACGATCATCCCTTTTTAATTAAGGGTAAATTATACAAATCATCACTCTTATTTTGATAAGTAAAGTATAATTCTTTTTAATTCAACCGCTAAACTTTTGATTTTCTCTTGCTTTAGTCACTGGACCGATTATCTATCTAACTACGTGCTTACTTTGCATTTTTTTTTAACTTTTTTAGATTGACATTGTACCCAGAGACAAATATAGGATTTTATGCTAGTAAAGATGAACTTATAATATTTTAAAAGGAGAAAACATATTATCAACATAAAATATATAGGAATTTAAAATTTTCAAGGGAGAGATCGCCCCCACCAACCCACTTGATCCATCCCTGACCGCATCGATCAGTATTGTCGATAACCCTTAAACCCAAAATTTTCATATTGACTTATTTTGATCCTTTGAGTCTGAATTCAATTTTTGTTTCACCTAAATCCATAAACCTCACGTAAAACCTGAAAACAAAATCCTAATCGAGCCTAAACCTTAAATAATAATCAAACCATAAACACATTTTCAATCATAAATCCTATTTTCACCCTTAGTGCTCTAGTCATCATTTTTGCCGGAAGTTTGGGAGAAATGTTGAGATTTTTGTAGAGTTTCTTTGAGAAAATAAATTGAAATACTTATAAAGGAAGAAAATATAAGTTGAACAACGTTATTATTGTTGGAACTTGCAAGTTATGTCAAAAAGTGACGGTTCAATAGATTAAAGCTTTCAAAATATAGTTCATAGAGCTTTAGTGTTTTTCAGATAAACAAACATGAAATTCATGTTTAGAAAGGAGAGACAAGTTTGGCGAAAAATTTTGGGACTGATCGGCCTCTAGCAATAGTGACAAGTGGTGGTTAGAATGGTGGTCAATGGCGGTCAGCACGATGGTCAAAATCTGAGTTTGGTTCAAGTTGAGGAGAGAAAAGAAAGAAGAAAATGATGGGAAAGGAGAAAATAGGTTTTATAAGGATCCAAAATGACGTTGTTTTGATCCAAATTTAATTTTATGTAGGGTTTCAAAATGATGTTATTTTAACGTAAACTATCATGTCAAAACGTTGTTAAATTATTTAACAAAAATTGACCAAACATGTTAAATTCTAAAGTTCAATGATTAAATTAAAACGTTCTAAACTTTAATGATCAAAATAGATGTGAGAACAAAGTTGAGTGATGGAAAAAAGATAATCACCCTTTAGTTAATCAGAACTGCTCTTGAATGCCAAACTTGTTTTCAATATACAATTAAGCCGACCAAAATTTGCTCAATAAAATGTTGTGTAAACGTTATTTGATGCATGTTATAATAACATGTTCAATTAATATAATATATTTCCTGATCTTAAAATGAATTGCGGCCCTCCAACCCACCAAGATTGAAAGTGGTTTACAACGAAGGTGAGTCAAATCATTCCATAAGATTCCCTCGACCCCTACACGGTTTGATTCAACGTGAAGAAATGTGGCTAGTACCCAGTCGCCCACTTGGCATCCAATTCTGGGACAATGTTCTGTCTCCTCTCTTTTCATATTATCATCTTGTTTGATTTACCTATATAACCTATCCAAAATAACAAACAATCCAAATTATCATTTTTCACTTTCTTTTGATACATAATTTTTGTGGGAAGAATACGGATGGCTACTACCATTGCTGTGGATCCAAGCCTAAGCCTGCAAATTGTGAGAGGCGGCTCAAATCAGCACGGTGCCGTGATTGAAGAAATTCTAGGACAGATTAAAGTGTACAAAGATGGACATACGGAGAGACCACAAATTGTTCCATTTGTTAGCCCGACGTTGCCTCTGAAGTTGGGTGTGTCGACGAAAGATGTTGTCGTCGACGAGTTCACCGATGTTTGGGGGGCACGTTTTTATGTTCCGAAATCGAACCGGAAGCTCCCTTTGGTAGTTTACTTTCACGGCAGAGGCTTCTGCGTTGGCTCGGCAGCTTGGAGTTGCTACCATGATTTTCTAGCGAAACTAGCTGCCGAAGCCGGTTGCTTGATCGTGTTGGTTAATTATCGGTTAGCCCCCGAAAACCGGCTGCTTATGAGGATGGGATCAAGTGCGTTATGTGGCTAAAACGAGAAGTTGTAAAAGGGTCGAGTGAATGGTGGTCTCAACTGTGCGATTTGAGTAGAGTCTTCTTAGCCGGTGATAGTGCTGGTGCCAACATTGCACATAATGTGGTAATTAGACTCGGCTTTGATAAGCCTTACCCATTGATCCTCAAAGGTACTATCTTAATACAACCGTTCTTCGGAGGCGAAACGCGTACTGAGTCTGAAAAGCACACGGTCCAACCTCCTCGTTCTGCCCTCAGCCTGGCGGCTTCCGATACATATTGGCGATTGGCATTGCCGTGTGGTGCCAACCGGGACCATCCATGGAGCAATCCGTCGGCGAAAATGGAGGAGACGAGGCTTTTGCCGACCTTAGTGTGCATATCGGAGATGGATATATTGCGGGATCGGAATCTGGCGTTTTGCGGTGCTTTGGCTAAAGCAGGGAACAAGGTGGAGCATGTTTTATATAAAGGTGTTGGCCATGCATTTCAGGTTCTTAGCAAGTCTCTAATCTCTCAAACTCAAACCAAAGAAATGATAGCTCATGTCAAGGCCTTCCTTTGTACTGATTATTGTATTCTGTAAATTCATATTGAAACCTTCTTTTAGAAAAGAAAATTGTGTATGTAGAATGTTTTTAACAAATATTGTGTGTAATTGAATTCAATATATAACCTTTTTTAGTAGCAATATACATATATATATTGTAAATATTGTGCTCAAATTTAAAATCTAAAAAATAACAATTGTTATTTTAATATATATATATAAGTGGCGGAGAAAAGCTCTTTTTGTAATGGGTAAACTACACCCAATTTACTTAATTATGGACTTCATAAGGAACAAATTATTTTTATTCTAGAAGTTCTAAATAATTTATTTAATTAATATATTATTACAAACATATCATTGATTGTTAGCTGTTAGAAAAGAATTAAATTAATGTAATAAATTTAACTAATTACATTTAAAAGTTTAATCATTTTAATCTTTGTTTTTCTCCTAAATTGATTATTCTTCTTCAAAAATGGTATATTACCTGTACGATATTTTCTTAATAAAATAACATTTTATTAGTAACTTGCTCATTCTTTATGATAGAATGTAGTTATTTAACTATTGATTTGATCCGATGAGTTTGTTTGATTGACAATATCACAAAAAGAATTGAATTTATATAATTCTTTAATATGAGTTTTAATTTTTTTTTGAATATTTTCGAATTATGATAAGGTTAATAGAATGTAAAAATTTGAGGGATTAAAAATATTATTATATAAAATCACATTAGACATTTATTTTAATTTAACGACGAAATAATATGTTTATAACAATATTTTAATTATATAACATGTTTGTAACTTTTCAAAAAAATATTTTTATTAGTAAATCCGTAATGAGTGACTTGTAAATGTATTCTTTTCTAATTTGATTGAAAGACATGAATTTTAAGGATTGACTGATTCTTTTTTTTAAAAAATAAGGATTGACTTAAGAGGCAAATAGTCGTACCTAAAAATTTTAGTTTCTCATATATTTTAAATATATTTTATAAATTTTATTAATAATTTATTTTTATTTTTTTTAAATTATATAAATTTATCTCTTAAAATAAAATATTACGTTTCCATGGATTGAACCAAAAAGGAAGGTCTGATTGGACTGTTTCCATGGATTGAACCAAAAAGGAAGGTCTGATTGGAGTGTAGTGGGTACGCACATAAGGTCTCGACAAGGGCCCCTAACCCTAATTCCATATACAATCATTGGTAAGAATAACATCTTTCCCTCATTGCTATGAGTGGTGGGTTTTATTATTAATTCTTCATGAATTTGTAACTTGTACGCCTTAACATGTTTCCATCTTATACAAATTTTATTTTATACATTTACCTCTAAGTATCTTAAAATCTAAATGTCTTTCTAATTCGATTTCACTTAATCTTTATAAAATTGAACTAAGTAAATATTCTAAAGTTTTATAAAAAAAATAAAATTTAAAGTTATAAAATTAAAATTTTTATATAAATTATCATAAAATATATAATCAAAAATATTAGAAAAATATTAGGAAATCAGATGATAAAAAAGACGACATAAGAGAGTTGAAAAATATTTCAGTTGTTGATTCATATTTGATCTTAACTCCTTTAAAAACTAAAGATTTACCTTCCATTTTGCAGGCACCAAAAATTAAGTCGAAACCATCGAGGAA